CTACATATAATTGTCACCTCGGATTCCTCTATGAAATTTTAAGTAAGAAGGTCAGAAACAGGGATTGCTAGGAGTGACAGAAGGTTACAAGGGATCAAAGGAGACAGCAAAGTTTTTGTAAGATGGTTCTGGTGTAAATGTTTTTTTTTTGGGAAAAAAAAAAAAAAGTTGTAAGAATTCAGTAACATGGAAACTATTCAAGGAAGTCTCACTTTCTGTCTCCCAGAAATAAAAAAATTAAAATACCAATGTGTCCTGTAATACAACTGTTTTAGGAAGCCTGACAATTTAAACAAGATGAGAAAATTAACCTTATATTCTCTGGAGACATATGATCAGAAAATGACCGTAAGAGGATACATGAAATGTACCTCAGGACCAAAGAACAATGTAAAACACTCACAATTAGGCCCAAAGCAACAGAATTTCTTCTGGTGTGACATTCAGACATATGTTAAGATCTATCTGGGTCTCAGTTAAAGCAAAAAACCCTGTATTAACCAATATTTTACAAAAGTATTTTTCAAGAGTGATAGAAAAACAGCACTGAAGTGACTCTGCCAGTTACAAACATTTGTAAGAATTACAAAATCTAGGGTAGCAAAAAAACCCCTTGGTATCATGTTAAAAAATGAAGGTGCTTTCAAGAGCACAAATACATTGTAAAAAGTATAGAAGATACTGCAAAAAATTACATAATACTTACTGTCTCTTGCCCGAGTGAACAACTGCTTCCTCCTCTCGCTCCCAGTGCAGTCAGGCAGTCATCACTCTAGAATAAGAAATTATTTTTAAAAAAATAAATAATATGAAGTATTTTGGTAAAAAATCATTTTGAGTATTTTCATGCGTACTGTAAAACAGTAAGAATCACCTGTAATAAAATACTTAAAAAACCCAACAAACCAGAAGTGGTGTTAAGCAACACTGAGTAATATTGGCTATGCAGATATTTGGAAAAGATAGTCAGTTTTTAAAGTATGTACACTACACTCAGGCAACATGGTAGAAGACAGAAGATTGGCAATTATGCAGTCTTAAGCTTGTTTGCATTGCAAATAATACAGTAGATGTTTAAGATGTTGCAGTGAACTTCACCTCTAAACCAGTATGCAAAAGATGACACTTTCATATAATGAAGAATTTCAGGTTGGTCAATACTTTCCATTTTATTCTAGTTCTTCTATCTTTAACACTTACTCTTCAGACTGCCAATGAAGTCCAAGCAATAGCAGGTATATAATGCAATAATTAGGATGTCCCTGAACCTACAAAATTTGATTTCTGTTAAACAACAGAATTACTCAGTTGAAAGATTTAAAACAGAAAAATTATGAAAATCAGCAGAGGAAAAACACATTAGAACAGACGATGAAATGGAAGTTCTTTGCTGGTGTTACTTATTTTTTCCAATGGTCTATTTTCTCTTGCATTTTAAAATTTTATACCTAAAACGTATTGCTCCTTTTATATTCTGGTTTTTTTTATTAGGGTGATCCAAGGAGCATCCTTACTGCAATCCTTAGTGGAATAAATGCCAGTCTCTAGAAGAGATATCCTTACCCTCAACATCGTTTCTCTAACTTAGATAGGCTTATCCTATATGGGAAAGAAGTCCCTGATGATCCTGAAGAGAAGAGTTCTATCCAGCCTCCAGATGGTTTCAGTACTGCCACAGTAGTTAGACACAAGCAGTACATACAGATGAAAACAGTATAAAAGCGAACAGTTGCACTCAGTTCTTATAATCTATCAGAACATCTAAGCCTACCACCTAAAGAGTTCTGAATAATTATGTACATACATAGGGGGGAAAGAAACCCAAATGTGTAACTGTCTGATTTGATAAATACATTTTGAACAAAGACTGGTAGAGTTGCAGTTTAAAGCATGTGGCTTGTTCAGTGGGCTACTGGTAGTTAGCACTGCCTTACATGTTTCAGCTAATTCTCATTTTCCATTCTCAAGGTTAAGAGAACTGTGCAGGCAATGTGCTTAGCCTGTGGGATGGGAGTGCCTCCTGTTGCTCAAAAATGATTCATAAGAATTATTAGCAGTATTTAGGTATCTAGTTCAGGTACTCATATTGCCCTATTATTGTGTCTCAATCTGTCTCTCTCCCTTTTTAATAAAGTATTTATGCACTCTCAAACACTCAACGTAAGAAGAGCTTGAACAGAGCGAGCTGTTTGGAAATAACCTAAAATCCATGAGTCATCCTGAGACTATGCTGAATGTTCTTAGACATGGTGTTAAACTTTTAAGGCAACAAAAATCCTAAGGATCCTAAGGATCCTCTTAAAGAGTTAGACCAAGTGTGTAATGGGCTGCATACAAGCCTCACCTCCAGTGATACAGCAGGA